AAAGTGTTCCCTATTTTCCTAGCTCAACCCCAAGTGAGAGGGAGCTTGGGTTCTTGGACACTGTCACTTATCCTATTCTTTTGGATGTTTCTCCCATTTTTCCTCTCACTGAGGAGTCCCCTATTTTGGTGAGTGCACCATCCGATGCACCCCCTGGCTCGATGAGTGCATCATCTTCTCCTCCCACTATCTGTATCTACACTCGGCGCACCCATTCCAATGCTTCTACTCTGGAACTTGCTACCTCCTTACAGAACATTGACTCTACTTCGGGCGACATTCTCAGCACAACCCCTCCTCCGAATGACGAGATGAGTTCTTCGAGTAAGCTATGCAATCAGACATTTTTTTTAATTTTATGGCAAAATATGTCTCTTTCCGCAGTTTATCGTCGACTTATAGAGCATTTACTACTGCCTTGATGGATCATAAATCCCAGCTACTATTAAGGTTGCCCTTGTTGATTTAGGCTGGAAAACAACAGTAATGGAGGAGATGAATGTCATTCGGCGGAACTATATGTGGGACGTTGTTGATCATCCTCATGTTAAGAAAGTTGTGGGGTGCCGATGGATTTTCTGCACTAAGTTTAACTCTAATATATCCTTTGAAGGCAACAAGACACGATTGGTCGTCAAATGATACTCATAGACCTATAGAGTTGATTATGAGGAGACATTTGTTTCAGTGGCTAAGTTAAACACTATTCTAGTCCTGTTGTCCCTTTTCCGTGAATCTGGATTGGTCGTTTTTTCAGCTAGATGTCAAGAATGCATTTTGAATGGAGAGCTTACAGAAGAGGTGTGCATGTCTCTCCCTCCTTGCTTTGATTCTACTACCTCCAAAGGAAAAGTGTGCAGGCTACGAAAGTCCTTTATGGGCCAAAGAAATTCCCATTGGCCTAGTTATGCAGGTTCACAAATGTGGTCGTAGGTCATGATTTTACTCAGACTCGATCGCACCCTCTTCTTTCTGCATTCCTCTAATGGCCAGGTGGCTATCCTTTTTGTCTATGTTGACAATATTATTCTTACAAGTAACAATCTCCCAGCATTGGATTCCTTAAAAGAAATTCTTGGTAAGCCATTCGAAATGAAAGACTTGTGATCTCTCCTTCTTAGGCATGGAAGTAGCTCAATCATCTCGGGGCATTTGCTTGTATCAACGCAAATATGTGATTGATCTCTTGAAACAGAACAACATTCTTCTATGCAAACCTATTGTTGTTCCTATGGATCAAATTAAAAATTATTCGACATTCTAAATGTTGTGTCTGCCAACAAGTTTTGTTACCAGCATCTTGTGGGGAAACTCATCTACCTCGCTCATACTCGCCTCGACATATGCCATGTTGTTGGTATAGTTTGTCAATTCATGCATAACTCCTATGAGCATCATCTCCAAGTTGTCCATCGGATTCTCCGCTATTTGAAAGACACATCGGGCTTGGGTTTGTTTTTTTCTCATCACACATCTCAGTCTATTGTTGTTTATACAGAAGCTGATAAGGTCGGATTAGTTCATGATGGGCGTTCCACCTCGGGGCATTGCTCATTTGTATGAGGCAATCTTGCCATGTAGAAAAGCAAAAAGCTGACTGTGGTTGCCCAAAACAGTGTTGAAGCTGAATTCCGGTCCATGTCATTGGGAATCTAGAAAGATCTCTGTCTACGCATCATGCTCTGTGAATTTCATATGTCAATCTCCATCCCTGTTGCAGCTATTGTGTGATAATAAGACCACAATCAATATTGCTCACAATTCAGTCCAGCATGATCATACCAAACACATGAAGATTGTCGGACACTCATTAAGGAAAAAAAATTGAGTTCGGGGAAATTTGTGTTCCATATGTGCTCTCAAGTAGTCAACTAGCGGACATTTTTACCAAGAATCTACCTCAACATTTGTTTGACGACTTTAAATCCAAGTTGAGCATGACTGACATCCATGCTTCAAATTGAGTGGGAGTATTAGATTTATAATGGCAATTCATTGCCATTATTGCTTATAATTAGCCTTTATTCCCTTATTATGTTTTTGCTATTTGTCTTTATTTTGTTTTGTTTCTTTCCTAGTTATCTTATTTTGTTTTATTTCCTTCCTTTATTGTATCTATTGTACTTAAGTTTAAATAGCCCTCCTACCAATAAAAGAATGCTCCTCAAATCACAAATTTGACTATATATATATATATATATA